GAAGAAAACATCTAGAGAAGTAAGTGTTCTGGCTGAGAAAACATCTAGAGAAGTAAGTGTTCTGGCTGAGAAAACATCTAGAGAAGTAAGTGTTCTGGCAGAGAAAACATCTAGAGAAGTAAGTGTTCTGGCTGAAAAAACATCTAGAGAAGTAAGTGTTCTGGCTGAAAAAACATCTAGAGAAGTAAGTATTCTGGCTGAGAAACCATCTAGAGAAGTAAGTGTTCTGGCTGAAAAAACATCTAGAGAAGTAAGTGTTCTGGCTGAAAAAACATCTAGAGAAGTAAGTGTTCTGGCAGAGAAAACATCTAGAGAAGTAAGTGTTCTGGCTGAGAAACCATCTAGAGAAGTAAGTGTTCTGGCTGAGAAACCATCTAGAGAAGTAAGTGTTCTGGTGAAGAAAACATCTAGAGAAGTAAGTGTTCTGGCTGAGAAATGATCCAGTGATCTAATCATTGCAGCAGAAAAAAAACATCCAGTAATATAAATATTTTTGAAAATTAAAAATCGAATATATAATTCCACTGAAAAGTTAAAAGAACATGGAATTTTCAACATTAAAGAAAGCACTTGTATTTTAAAGTTGTGGTAAAAATTTATTAATGCTTAAATGTTATTACAGTAATTCTTCCCTTAGCTTTTTTGTGTTTCAGAGACAAATACATAGAAAAAATAATTACACAGTTTGAAAGCAGTTATATTTGAAAATATGTATAGGTAAAAAACATATGTTTATCAAGTATTTAAAATTTTAGGTTTCATGTATATTCTTTGCATTGTATCAGGTCACAAAAAAACGTGAACAAATCATTTCAGTGAAGAAATGAAACAACAGCATGAAAAGGATGAAAACTGTCTTTATTTACAGAAACAACAAAAAGAACACAAACAAGTGTTAATGGTCCCAGTGTGTTTTCAAATGACTACACTGGTTGGAAGGTAAACCAAAGGTTCAGACCATATCACGTTAATCATAAAAATTTAACTATAAAAAAGAACTGAATACAACTGACATATCCCACCCACCCCTACAGTTGTCTTCAAAATAAATTTGGTTTGTAAAAATGGAATGAAGTATTATTTTTCACCTGGAGCTCTTTCTTTCATGCTCTGTGAATGAGAAAGCTTCTTCATTGACTATTTGTATTCTACAAAAATATAAATTACTTTAGTGAGATCATTTGGAAATTTGAGCTGAGCCAATATTCTTCCAAACCTGCAGTACAGTTTCCCCTAACTTATGATAAGGAATAAATATATATATATATAGATATCCAGTGTTTGTCCAAGATATACAGATAGGCTCATTCTATGAAGTCAAGGACCATTAATAGGAGTAGAATTTCTATGTTTTATTACGTTAATAAAGTTTATAGAATACTGTGTAGAAATTCCTTCAGGTTTGAGACTCACGTATTATAATAATACATCTTACACCAGTTTTGCTTTTGATGTTAAGAAATGAGTTTTTTAGGATGGCTGCTGAATACCAAAGTTTTGGGTTGATTCATTAAGAAATGCTGAAGTTAATAAACTTCTTACTCTAAGTTTCACTTCCCCCTGAACTTGTGAGTGAAATTTGCTTTGGCCTGAAAGTGTTTAATGAATGATTTTAGATTTTTCACATTACTTGTGCACTTACGAAGTCTTTAATCATTCCACAAGCAACACTGAGACAAGTTCACATGTAAAATTAAAATTCTGGTTACCCCAGTAAATACAATCTTTTATTTATGTACATTAGTATACATAAAAAAAAACTCCAAGAGGTCCTTCTACTCTAAATTTTGCAAGACTATAAGCAGGACCTCAATTCTGATAATTAGTTGAGATCATTATGCTCAGCTGACATTACTGGTTGTGTCAGTAATAACAAAAGAAGTATGAATAACATGATCTACATTAAATTAAAGTTATCCATTACCACACTTATGTATATACATGTATATATATGTACATAGAGAAACAGTCTAAATCTATAATTTTTAGCACATTTTACATCTTGAATGCTACATGGGTGGCGTGGTTAGACAAACGTATGAAACAAGTATTTCACTGAAATTGTAAGATAAGATATTTTATTCATTTAAGTTTGGCAAGTTAAGTTATATTATAAAAACTGTATTTACATTAAAGGTTTCCCCAACAGCTGAATTCACCTTGTTACTAAAACAGTTGTCTTTACCCGACTGATTGGTTACCATGACAGCAAACTTATCCAATAGACTTATACCCAGTCGGCTTGTTAGAACGTCATTCTTCTTGCATGAAAGTGATAAATATTACACCACATGTGAATACAGACTGGAAACGTTAGTATGTTCTTCACTATGTTTCTAATCATGATTAGTTCTGTTGAGTTTGTTAAGCTCCAAATTATTAGAGTATAGAATAAATAAAAACAACTGACAACTAAAGGTTTGGAACCTTTCATAGCGTATACATATATAGCTAAAGCTAAAACAGCTCCAATACGTTTTGCCAAAACATGTTATTGTCCTTTATGCACGCCACAAGAATAAAGCACGTCTCTCATCTTTACCTAATACAGCCTACAATAAACACATGGTTATAACACTAGTATAGACTTAAAAAGAAAAAATAATTTCCGTTTTACTTATTTCATACACTGTGATTCTTCAATTTTAAAGCTGATGAAGTGAAAATTTTCCGCAAGGGAGCGGCGATTATACTGACAATTTATCATCTTCCCTCTTGAAGTAAATATCGAAGAACCAGCCACGTGAGAAGAAGATGAGATCATTGGCCTAGTTTTACTGGCCGCACCACGCAGTTTTCTTTGGTAGTTGAGGTATCAGGGCAATTACCTAAAAGGAAAACAAAAACAAAATTAAGAAATCAAACTATTTCACAAAGTAACCTATTAATGTTAATGTCCTTTGAAACCTCATAATTGAAACTCTTGTGATTAATATTACACATGCGATTGACAGTACTAAACAACTCATTATCTAAAAAATTGGTAAATGTAACATTCAACTATTGATACCTCCACAGTTAGAAAAGTCACTAGATGGAGAAGCATAGTAAACCCTACATGGCCTGTAGTTATATCACTGACTGAAATCCTGGCATATTTCCTTTCTCTCACATAAACAACTATAGTATAAGTGTGTAACAGATATTTGTATTAAGCTAAGGGTGCACAGAAGACAGTGAATTTTTACTGTTGTCGAGGTAACAAAAGTCAACTGAGCCTGATAAGACACCTATCTGTCGTTCATATGTTCTTTCACATAAAAACCAAATACAAGGAGGGTCAAAGAGGCATTCATCCTCCTGTGAGGGAGAAATGTTTTAAAAAAATGATTTTTTTTTATTTATTCAACTGTGATATAAACATTCAGCTAAAAATATTTGTGAACGAAAGAGGATTGAGTCCTTTCTTAAATGTCCCATATCATTGTAAGCTTATTTTAAAACCTGATATTTAGTTGTGGTCTATCACAGTTTAGCATGTAGCATCGTATGTCTCAACAAATTCATTTTATGTTCTTTATAACACAATTGTACATCTCGATAGCAATGACTCTGGACGAGATCCGTTCGACATCTGACGATTAAACGGTCCTAGTCTAGCGTCATCACTAGTCAACCATTTTATAAACGAAAAGTTTTCGTGTGCGTGAAAAACAAATGGAATGTTCAATGTGGGATTTCTTTAAATTGACAAACTTTTAGGATCCTTCGATTAAAATAATAATAATGTACACAGCGAGAATTCTAGGGTGTTTTAAAAACACTGTTTATATGTTAAAACTGAAACTGTTCTGCGGTCACAATAGAATTGGGCAACTATTCTAGGGGAAGATCATATTGCTTCCAATAGCCAACTTTTCCATCACACTAATATATGGATAGCCTACAAACATTAGGAAACTCGACACCCATCCGCTTCAAACACTGGTGTGTGAAGCGTCAACCGAGTGATGCGTCATTAACAGAAAGTCATATTCTTCAGAAGCGGAACCACGTTAAAGCGGTGCCGCATGCACGCGCACTCTCCGAGTTGAATCCACCAATAAAATCAACGTCTTTTTTTTTGTTGTTGTATCCCCAAGAAAAACTAAAATAAAGAACTCAGATAAGAAAATAAAGATGGAATGGAAGTATTAAACAACCTGTCAAAGCAATTGTAATGAAAGAAATATTTCACAGATATTAAAAAGTACGTAATAAATGTAAATCATACACTGTATAGTTTTTAGATATAAAAAACTTGGGCTATGTCAATACCCCATAATGTGATTACTTTCAAGTAGAAAAGGAAATAAACCAACAGAATTAAATATTTGGAAAAAACTTGGGCTATGTCAATACTCCATAATGTGATTACTTTCAAGTAGAAAAGGAAATAAACCAACAGAATTAAATATTTGGAAAAAAACTTGGGCTATGTCAATACCAAATATTTAATTCTGTTGGTTTATTTCCTTTTCTACTTGAAAGTAATCACATTATAGAGTATTGACATAGCCCAAGTTTTTTTTCCAAATATTTAATTCTGTTGGTTTATTTCCTTTTCTACTTGAAAGTAATCACATTATGGAGAACTATTAGACTG